CAAAGATTGGTGATAAAGCTTCAATGGAGACACCTTTCCCCCATGATAACTCTTCCAGGAGTGAATTTCCCGTCTTATGGGTAGATTTCTCTCACTTCCTGTTATCGCGCCACTGTTTTTAACTATGAGTCATTTGTAAGTTGGATGTTTGTAGCTGCCTGTGTTCAAGGGAGACCATATTGCACACTATCAGGAGAGTGCATCTATGTTGTGGAATTAGTGCAGCGTGACACCATTTGGAGATCCTGGTGGCAGATGGGTTAAATCACTGAGCTGCTGGACTTGTTGACCGAAAGGTCGCAGGTTCGAAACCGGGGAGTGGGGTAAGCTCCCATTGTCAGCCCCAGCCTCTGCCAACCTAGCAGTTCAAAAACATGCAAATGTGAGTAGATCAATAGGTACCGCTCCGGCGGGAAGATAACAGCACTCCATGCAGTCATGTCAGCCACAAGACCTTGGAGGCATCTACGGATAATGCTGGCTCTTCGGCTTAGAAATGGAGATGAGCACCTCTCCCCAGAATTGGACACGACTGGACTTAATGTCAGGAGAAAATCTTTACCTTTACCGACACCATTTGGATTGCCCTGGCTCAAAGCTATGGAATCATGGGAGTTGTTGTTTAACAAGGTCTTTAGCCTTCTCTGCCAAAATGCTGGTGACTCACCAAACTACAAGTTTCATGATTTCAAGCAGCAGTTAAAGTGGAGTCAAACTGTATGACGTCTACAATATAAATGCAGCATCGGTTGACATGACTATGATCATACAGCCCAGACTATTCATTCTACATCTAGCAAGGAAAATGAACATGTGTTTATAGCTTTTTAAAAACAAGTTAGGCTGTGTGTCTTTATTCTTAAGTTATGCCTACAAATTAAGTATCTTTTATGTTTAAAAAGTTAAAACACAAGAATTTAGAAGAATTTGTTGCAATCACTTTAATCCAGGGAATAACAGAACCACCTTTAAATAAAATAACACTCCCATCTCTTAATGTCACAAATCATAAGATATGTTTAGTCTTGAAGACAAAGATCTAAGATCTCATTTCAGAAATATTTCACAACATAAGTCCTATTTGAGCTGCATTTGTCTGAAAAATGCTTCCCTTCCCCATTCAGAACATCTAAGTAATACAAAGACCTGGATTACAAGGAGAATTACCAAATATCTGAGGAATTTTTCTTCTATGAGGAAAAGAAGCACAGTATCTTTTATAAACTCATATAACACTGCACTAGAAACGTTATATGAATGATTATCCTTCATATAACTCATATAACACTGCACTTAATCTGAAGTGATCTTAAATTTCAGATCGCTTCAGATTAAAAAAAAATGCCCATCCATTTGTGGTCTGGTTTTAGAGGAGCTGGCCATTTTCTCAAGCTACCTATGATTTAGAGCAAAGTACAGTAGAGTCTCGCTTATCCAACCTTGGCTCATCCAACATTCTGTATTATCCCACACAGTCTGCCTCCTACCCGGATCCACAGTTTTTTCAATACATTGCAATGTTTTGGTGCTAAATTAGCAAATACAGTAATTACTACAGAACGTTACCGTATATTGAACAGCTTTTTCTGTGGATTTGTTGTAAAACATGATGTTTTGATGCTTAATTTGTAAAATCATAATATAATTAGACGTTTAATAGGCTTTTCCTTAATCCCTCCTTATTAGCCAACATTTTTGCTTATCCAACATTCTGTCGACCCATTTCTGTTGGATAAGTGAGACTCTACTGTGTAGTCTAATATTTTGTATGATAATTATACATACCGCATATATTCGAGTATAAGCTGACCCAAAAATAGGTTGAGGCACCTGATTTTACCACAAAAAACTGGGAAAACATATTTACTCAAGTATAAGCCGAGGATGGGAAATGCAGCAGCTACTGGTAAATTTCAAAATAAAAATAGACACCAATAAAATTACATTAATTGAATCATCAATAGGCTAAATGTTTTTGAGTATTTACATAAAACTGTAGTTTAAGATAAGACTGTCCCACTCTGATTAAACCATTATTATTTATTTTATTTATGTTATTTCGGGTACTTTTACCCCGCCCTTCTCAACCCCCGAGGGGGGACTCAGGGCGGCTTACAAAAAAGGCACAATTCGATGCCTACATAGAATACATATACATATAAAAACAGCAATCAACAATTATCACAAACAGTCAGTATATTATTTTTACTTATTTATTTATTTATTTATTATTCTAACCTTTGTCAATGTACATGTGCCTCCAATAATAATAAAGAGAGTGAAATAATAAATGTAATAATAATAATAGAGTAAAATAATGGAAATGTAATAATAATAGAGAAAAATAATAAACATAATAATAAATAGAGTAAAATAATAAATGAAATAAAATAATAATAGAGTAAAATACTTCATGTAATAAATAATAACAACACAGTAAAATAATAAATAACCTTGACTTGAGTATAAGTCAAGGGGGGCATTTCAACCTTAAAAAGGGCTAAAAAAACTTGGCTTATACATGAATATATACGTTAATCTTCTCAAAAAGAACCCCAGTAAGACAGGGTAAAAATCAGCTTTACTTATGGGAAGCATAGTATTGCTATGAAGATTTAACGCAGGAGGGGGAGTGGAAGGATGAGTGGGTGGTGGTGGGGGATTCAGGGCTAAGACTCATGCTGTGGTTCATCAATCAGAAATAACAGTGTTTCATATAAGCAGAACCATAAATTTGCGCTTATAATGTAAACTCAATAACACAGCTTTGGCATGGCAAAGACAATGGGCTAATTATATTTCCCTTCTTAAGCACTGTCATTTTTGCGGCTAAAATTATGGCTAGAAGATAGTCGGTTCCGTGGGAGAGTTCTGTCCTTAGTATGTATTTGCTGCTCCAAGATAAAGATAGCAATTGTGTTCAAAAATGTTTTTTGGTGCCCCACAGTATTTTCAAAAAGGACATTCAGATTTTAGGGGCCCATCTAGGGTTTCCTGTTCATTGTGCAATTTACATCTAAATACTTATTCTATAATACTTAATAGTAACAGTCGGCAAAATGTGGCTCAAGAGTGACATGCAAACCCCAAGTCTATGGGGCTATCCAAAAATAAAATTGTTTTGTTCCAGAATGTCTCCAAACGTAGGGCTTGTAGAGATCTTTCCTCTCACATTTGGAGGCATCCTGGACTCCTTGGGACAAAAACAATATCCTATAGACTTGTGAATAACTTTACAAATTTTGGATTTAAAAAATCAACCAAAAAACCTGAGTTGACTTATCCACAGTTCAACGTGAATACTGTACCTTAACTTTTTATCAAAAAAGGAAACATCACAAGTGGTGAAAGGAGATGAGAGATGAGTTCATACTGGGAGAATCTAAAAAAAGCACAGACACATTTCTACTTTTTCTGTCCTGGCACTGCTCCTGCCCTCCAAGATCTCCTAGGGGGCTAATACCAATTTTCCATAGTTTCCTACCTCTTCTTAATGAAATATTTAAATTGTATAATAGTAGACTTATTTTTGGCTTGGATGCAAAGATTAAAGTAGAGCTTGAAAAAGCAGCTCCTAGAAAATCCAACAAATGCTATGTTTAGCAAAAGACAAGAGGGATCCTCTCACCTCTGCAGGGATCTACCATATACCATGCAGCTGTGGACAAGTCTACATAAGGACCACCAAATGCAGCATCTCCCAAACATGAATCAAGGAACATGAAAGGCACTGCAAAGTAATTCAAGCACCGTGTCAGACTACACAGAGAAGCCACTGAAATCCACAAGCATGTGGACAATTTCCACAGAAAGGAGGAAATCATGAAAATGAAAAAAAAAATCTAGCTACTAGTATTAAAAAAAACCCTCTAAAATCAGGACAGTAAATAAAGAGCAACACTCAAAACCAGGGGAATTCCAGATAGGAAACAATCAGGGTCAGCTAACACCTCCCAACAAAGGATTCCCCCAAGCAGGAAGCAGCCAGATTTTGAAGCTGCAAGCCTATTAAATGCTAATCAAGATAGCCAATTGCAACATTCAAATCTGCTTCAAGCAGACGAGAGTTCTTTCTCCCACCCTGAAATTTCCAGATATATAAACCTCACTTGCCTAGTTTCCAAAAGACCCCTCAACCTCTGAGAATGCCTACCGTAGATGTGGGCAAAACATCAGGAAATAATGCTTCCGGGACATGGCCATACAGCCTGGAAAACTCACAGAAACCCAGCTCCTGGAAACTACTTCACATTTTCACATTCTGCAGCAGCCATCTGCACTCTTTCCCTGCAAAAGTATTGGGCAAATTACGTTATCCAGAAAAAGGCAATGGCAAAGCTTCTCTGAATAAATCTTACCATGGGTCAGACGCAATGTGATGGCATATAACAAAGATATTACAATTGTCCACAGGTTCCCTGGGGAAAAATTTTTAGCTCCTGTAAATAGGATCTAAAATAATTTGCTTCTTTCAATTGCATGATAGATTTAGGAAGGACGTAAAGGTAGGAATTGCCTCTAAAAAGTCAGAGCTAGAACTTATTTTTGAGAAGGGCAACAAAGGCCTCATATCCAGGCTCTATAAATTTATCTTAGAATACAATTTAATAGATAACCAGATAAAACCTGTTATGATTACGTGGTCCAAAGATTTAGGCAGAAATATTGATTTGGAAGAATGGGAACATTTGTGGAAAAAGGGGTTTAAATTTTCAGTGGCCAGCTCAATTAGAGAAAATATGTTTAAAATGTTTTATAGAACCTACATAACTCCAGAATTATTGGCTAAAATAGAGAAAACAGGACAAGGAACTTGCTGGAGATGTAAGAAGGCGAAGGGTTCATTTTTCCATGTATGGTGGATGTGTAATATAGTTAAAGAATTTTGGGAAAAAGTGGTGAAGGAAACAAACAATATGATTAACAAAAAAGTTAAGAAAAACCCAGAAATGTGCCTTTTAGGATTATTTAGAACATGTATCAGTGCAGGAGATGAAGAAATTTGTCAATATTGCTTTGTTGCGGCAAGACTAATAATAGCCAAAACTTGGAAAGGGGAAAAAGAGTTATCTATTAATGATTGGAGAGATAAGTTAGCAGACTATATCCAAATGGCCAAGCTGACAAATAGCAGCAGAGGAGGAGATAATGAAGAATTTGCAAATAAATGGAGGCTGGCACTTGGGTATTTGGAAAAGAAGACAAAGGTAAACTTGAAGATTGCCATAAAGGGGATTCAGTGAAAGAAGATATTTGGGTAGTTGTTGTTTTGGAATGCGATCCTGTTTTGAGGGGTGTCGGAGGTCAGGGGGTGGGGTTCACGGGTGGGGGATAGAGGGTTAGGTAATGTTAAGGTATAAATAATTGTACAACCAAATCTGATTGTACATATGTTTGATGAGCGCTGAATGTTGACTCTTTTGTAATTTTTTGCATATGTTTTCTTTGTTTACTTTTTTCCTTTTGTTTGTTTGTTTTGTTTTCTGCATACACTATAAAACAATAAAAATTTAAATAAAATAAAATAAAATAAAATAATTTCCTAAAGCTGCAAAACAAAGTCAATCAAGAGATCTTAGTGTAAAATCCATTGGGTGCTTGAAGGATAGCACATACAAGGTTTGGAAAGGAAACATTTTGAATCCTCTAACCTGCAAATACACAATTTGGTGCAATTTATTAAATTTAAAGCTTTTTCAAAAGTGATTCAGTCAGCTGTGGAATCCAGTTGCCATGAGTATTGAGTATCTAACTACACACATACACACAGAAAGTATATTACCACTTAGAAAATGTTCCCACAAAGTGAAATGAAAACACCAGGTACAATCTCAATAACATTTAAATTCCTCAGTCCTCCACCGAAACCTTCAAAACAAAGGCACTGATACTCACAGACACACAGAAATGTAGAAAACAATCTAAACTAATATTTACTCAGCTGAGTACTAATGGATGCAGCTGGGTTGCTAAAAACATATGTAACACATCTAATGGTTGGCTTTGCTCTTTGTAGTTCTGCCCAGAAAGGGCTTATCTTTTGCTCCTGATCCTCAAATCACTAGAGGCTGACAAGCAGTATCTTCTTTGATCAAGTTCTGTAGGGGAATTCAAACAAACTTTTAGGAAAATTTAAGTAATCCTTAATAAGCTTCTCTTGTAGTGATGACAGGGCATAATTCTCAGTTGCCAAGTATCTGGATTCAGAGGAAAGAATTGAATGCAGTCATGAGGCTAGAGTTAGAGCTATGGTCCATATAGCCCACAAGACCCCCATAATTGCAGAGACTTCCCACTGATTTGGTCATAGAATCATAGAATCCTATAGTTGGAAGAGACCCCAAAGGCAATCCAGTCCATCTCATGCAGGAACACAGAATCAATGCATCTGTGGCAGATGACCATCCAGCCTCTGCTTAAAAACCTGCAAAGAAGAAGACACCACCATTCTGGCCAACTACTTTGGTGCATCCCAGCCCAACCCCAGATTTGGAGGGCCCCTGAGAATCTCATTCCCTCAACCAAAAGCATATAGGTAGGAAGCTTGTGTCATTCAGATAGTGGTGCTGGGCAACGTATCAGTGTCACTGATGGTGGCAGTAACATCTTGCCACAGTATTCTCAAGAGTGCCGGATACCAGCCAGAGGATGCATGGCAGAAAAGGCATGGTGATGAGGAAAGAGGAGGAAATTCTTCTGTGGAATGATGTGATGTTACACTTTTGGACTTTCCACAGATATATAAACCCAATTTTCCTACAGACCTCACAACCTCTAAGGATGCCTGCCATAGATACAGGGGAAATATCAGGAGATAATGCTTCTAGAACATGGCCATATAGCCCAAAAAACCTACTACAACAACCCAGTGATTCCGGCCATGAAAGCTTCGACAATATATCTTAGAAGAGTTTATTCAGAGGGTCCTCATCTTTGCTTTCCTCTGAGACTGAGAGAGTTTCACTTGCCCAAGGTCACCTAATGAGTTTCCATGAATAAGTGGGAATTTGAACAATGCCCCCCCCCCCGCCCCCCCGCATCCTGGGCTAACACAGAAGCTACCTCTGTTTCTGCAAAGTAGAATGCAATAGCAAAAGAGGGAAATGCATAGATTGCCAGAAACCATCATCCTGACATTGTATGACCTGAGTGGTACAGTTGATGTCTGACACTCCGAGGTCTCTCATTCCTAGGGTTGCCAGAAGTCGACTTCAGGTACACCTGCACTGTAGAATTAATACAGTTTGACACTACTTTAACTTTTTTTTCGTGTCAGGAGCGATTTGAGAAATTGCAAGTCGTTTCTGGTGTGAGAGAATTGGCCGCCTGCAAGGACATTGCCCAGTGGACGCCCATATGTTTTAATGTTTTACTATTTTTGTGGGAAGCTTCTCTCATGTTCCTGCATGAGGAGCTGGAGCTGACAGAGGGAGCTCATCCTCACTCTTCCCGGATTCAAACCTGTGACCTGTTGGTCTTCAGTCCTGCCAGCACAAGGGTTTAATCCATTGCGCCACCAGGGCCTCCTACTACTTTAATGGCCATGATTTGATGGCACAGAATCATGGGAGTTGTAGTTGTAGGAAGGTCTCTAGCCTTCTTGGAGAAAGCGTTCATGAAAGGCACTGCAGATTACTTCAGCCAGAGAAGCCAGCCATAGCAGAGCACCTGATGAACCAACCTGGACACAGCATATTATTTGAGAACACAGAAATGCTGGACCACTCTCACAACCACCATGTCAGACTACACAGAGAAGCCATTGAAATACACAATTTCAACAGAAAGGAAGAAACCACAAAAATGAACAAAATCTGGCTAGGTAAAGTTTTCCCTTAACATGAAGTCCGGTCATGTTCGACTCTGGGTCCATTTCTAAGCTGAAGAGCCGGCGTTGTCCGTAGACACCTTCAAGGTCATGTGGCCGGCATGACTGTGTGGCGTGCCGTTACCTTCCCGCTGGAGTGGTACCTATTGATCTACTCACATTTGCATGTTTTCGAACTGCTAGGTTGGCAGAAGCTGGGGCTGACAGCGGAAGCTCACGGTGCTCCCCAAATTCAAACTTGCAACTTTTTGGTCAACAAGCTCAGCAGCTCAGTGCTTTAACCCACTGTGCCACCGGGGGCTCCTAAGATCTGGCTAATAGTATTTAAAAAACTCTAAAATTATAACAGTAAATAAAGACCTAAACTCAAACACAGGGAACTCCAGACAAGAAACAATCAGGAACATCTAACCACTTCTCAACAAAAGATTGTCCCAGGTAGTAACAAGCCGCACCTAAAAACTGCCAGGCTACCAGTATTAAAAACTCTAAAATTACAACAGCAAAACAACAGACACATCTAATCACCTCTCAACAAAAGATTGCCCCAGGCACTGCCAGGCCATCAAATGCCAATCAAGGTGACTAATTGAAACATTCACAACTAGTTACAACAGACAAGAGTTCTTTCTCAAACCCAATTTTCCTAGTTTCCAACAAACCTCACAACCTCTGAGGATGCCTGCCACAGATGCAGGTGAAACGTCAGGAGAGAATGCTTCTAGAACATGGCCATACAGCCCAAAAAAACCTACAACAACCCAGTGATTCTGGCAGTTACCATATTTGTATTAATTATTATTATTATTATTATTATTATTATTATTATTATTAAACTTTATTTGTACCCCGCTAGCATCTCCCAGAGGATTCGATGCGGCTTACAACAGGCCGAGGCCACAACAATACAACATAGCAATACAATCAAGCAAATCAAACAATTAAAACAAATTAAAGCAAAATAAACAAGCACAGTACATTAAAACACAATAAAAATGGGCCGGGCCAAAAGGTGGGTACAAGGATTAAAAGTGCTGATTTGACAGGAGGTGTATAAAGGGTTTCTAGGGCAAGTGCGATGTGCAATGTGCAGCAATCATTGGTTCTGGTAAAGTGCTTGTGGGACTCGGTAGTGGAGATTTCCTAATCTGGGAAGGCGCGTCGGAAAAGAATGCTGTGCCTCACAATGCAGGACTCCATAGCCTTGAGGCAGGGCAGCTAAAGTGATGTCAACTTGCATTAAAGAGAATTTCAGACACATAGTGGATTGCAGACAACATTCTGAGACTCCTGGGTCTCCTCAGAAGGCCTACACTTGAAAACTCGGCCTCTCCCTTTGTGCCGGGAGGTGGCAATGTTGCCCTGTTTTCCAGCAAAAAAGAAAAAGAGACAGTCTGGTTATCTGGCTGTGAGGCAGAGCTCGGAGTGTTTTAGGCTCACTGCCTTCCTCTTCCTCTTTGGGGCGCCAGGGGGCGCCAGAGAAAGAGAGAGGCAGGGAGGGGCTGAGGCGGCGGCTTCAGGAAGGAGGGGAAGGCAGGCCGCGGGACAAACCAGGTACAGCGCTGCCTATGGAAATGGAGAGGGTCTGGCTGGAGAGGGGGAGCAGAGGGGCAGGAAGGAGGGAAGGGGCAGCGCCTCTCCGCCTCCCTTCCTGGCCTATGGAAGCTCGAGGGGCTGCCCCTTCCTTTGGGGAAGGGGGTTTGATTGACAGGTCGGGGAGGCTCGAGAGGGGGGCGGCCTCTTCTGGCCTGCGCGCGCTCAGTGCCCGCCCCCGCCTGCCGCAGTCTTTGCAGCTCGCTTCTGCTTCTGCTTTGCTGGCTCGCTTGGCCTTTTAACCAGAGAGGAGCCCTGTGCCTTTAAGGATTGCCACTTCAGCGAGGGTTGCTGCTTACAACTCGTTGGCACCTGTGGGAATTTCTCTTGCGTCTTCCTTTCCCAAACTCAGGGCTCCCAGGAGGGGTTTGGGACTTCGGCTCCCAGAAGCCCTGGTCATTGGGAAACGAAGCAGAGGCTTCTGGGAGTTGACGTTCAATGCACCTGCAGGACTAGAGTTTGGAAGCCACTCTCCCATTTCTTGCCAGGAGTAAAAGACTAGAGCAGGGGGCCTCAAACTTTTTAAACAGAGGGCCAGGTCACAGCCCCTCAAACTGTTGGAGGGCTGGATTATAATTTGAAAAAAACGTGCATACTGCACATATCTTATTTGTAGTGCAAAAAACACTTAAAAACAACACAGTAATTAAAATTAAGAACAATTTTAACAAATATAAACTTATTAGTATTTCAATGGGAAGTGTGGGCCTGCTTTTGCTTATGAGATAGGATTGTTGTTGTTGTTGCTGTTGCTGTTGCTGTGTGCTTTCAAGTCGTTTCACCCTTAGGTTGACCCTGAGCAAGGGCCAGGTAAATGACCTTGGATGGTCGTATCCAACCCTCTGGCCTTAGTTTGAGGACCCCTGGACTAGAGTAAAGAATAGCAAGAGTATGCATCCCATCTGAAACCCTGTGGCCGACTCCTGAAGAATATTGGGGCTTGTAGTTTCATGAGCATTTTGAAGGCCGCTCCCCTAAACTACAAATCCCAGGATTCTACAGAATTTCAGATGAGATGCACACTCTTTGTCCACTCTTTCAGCTCAAGTGTGATCAGAAGAGTGTACAGCAGGTATCTGCTGGGGTTTGGTTCAGTATCTATCAGTATCATAGAAGTGGAAGAGATTTCAAGGACCACCCAGTCCAACCCCCTCCCCCCTTTTGGCATGAAGGAACAAGCAAAGCACTCCTGACAGATGGCCATCCAGCCTCTACTTAAATGCCTCCAGAGAAGGAGACTCCAAGGCAGTCAATTCCACTGTCAAGGAGCACTTCCAACTAGAAGGTTCTTCCTAAAGGGGAGCATTGTTCAAATTCCCACTTAGCCATGGAGACTCATTAGGGAAAGTGACATTATCACCACCTCAGAGGAAGTTTACTGTGTCCAATTCTGGGCACCACAATTGAAGAGAGATGTTGAAAAGCCGGAATGTGTCCAGAGGAGGGTGACTAAAATGATCAAGGGTCTGAAGAACAAGCCCTATGAGGAGTGGCTTAAAGAGCTGGGCATGTTTAGCCTCCAGAAGAGAAGGGTGAGAGGAGACATGATGAGGGACATGTATACATATGTGAGGGGAAGTCATAGGGAGGAGGGAGCAAGCTTGTTTTCTGCTGCCCTGGAGACTAGGACATGGAGCAATGGCTTCAAATTACAGGAGATTCCCCCTGAACATGAGGAAGAACTTCCTAACTGTAAGAGCTGTTCAGCAGGGGAACTCTCTACCCTGGAGTGTGGTAGAGGCTCCTTCTTTGGAGGCTTTTAAACAGAGGATGGATGGCCATCTGTTGGGGGTGCTTTGAATGTGATTTTCCTGCTTCTTGGCAAGGATTTGGATTGGATGACCCACAAAGTCTCTTCCAACTCTATGATTCTAAGTTTGAATCCATTGCTCTGTTTCCTAGTCTCCAGAGCAGAAAAAAACAAGCTTGCCCCCTCCTCAATGCACCATCCTTCCAAATATTTAAACATGGCTATCATGCCTCCTCTCAGCCTTCTCATCTTTAAGGTTAAACCCTTGTGCCAGCTAAACTACTGATCTAAAGGTCAGCGGTTTGAATCTGTAAGATGGGATGAGCTCCCATCTGTCAGCTCCAGCTTCCCATGCAGGGACATGAGAGAAGCCTCCCACAGGATGATAACACATCTAGGCATCCCCTGGGCAACATCTCTACAGATGGCCAATTCTCTCAAACCAGAAGTGACTTGCAGTTTCTAAGTTGCTTCTGATTAAAAAAAAATCTCCAAGCTAAACTCATCTCCAAGTAGTTTCCAGTTTATGGCAATGTCTGGATGAACACAGGCATTCAAGGTGTAAGAGCCTTCTCTAGCTTTCGCTGTGTCGCCTATAACACCATGCGACACGATATTTGTTTCTAGGTTATAAATATCATTTCCTCATTGGTTCTATCATCAAAACATGGACAGTTTTATTAACCTGCAAAGCTTGTTTTTGCGGGACACCCTGCAGCATATTTTTCTATAGTTTTCCAATAAATATCTCATAGAGCCTCAACCAATTCAAGTAGTTGTTATGCTACACAAACTTTGTTTTTGTGGCAGCCACAAAAATAAAGTTTGTGTAGCATAACAACTACTTTCCAGGTTAGTACCACACAATCGAACGAGAGATAACATTTTCAAACCAGGAACAGATTTTTTTCCAAATGTTACATTGTGTAATCGGAGTTGGAAAGAGGCTTTGAAAATGATTGTAGTTAAATGGGGGAATTGCTATCACACAGTATACACTTATAAGCTCCTAATCTCAGCATCCTAAACCTGCGATTGCCAACCTTTTGGTCCAATGTGTACAGTAGGCTCTCACTTAACCGGCACCCCTGGGGATTGGTCGATGCCGGATAAATGTAGTAACTTAAAAGTTACTATTAAAAATAGGCCTAGCTAATAGGGCTGGTTGATCAAGAAAAAATTTGGTTCTAAAATCGATTTGTAATTGGGGTGTTTTTTTGTTTCGATATTTAAAAGAATTACAAAATTTCCCCGCACAATCCGTTAATATTTACGAAAATTTCATAAATATTAACGAATCGATTCGTTAAGATGGTGGACCCCCGCGCGCATGCGCAAAACATTTCCGAAGCTTACGTTATTGCCGCGGGGTCGATTCGTTAAGGGGGCTCCCTCAACTTGCTTCTAAACAAGGGGGATGGACTGGATGACCTTTGGGGGTCCCCACTGGGAGTTGAACTCCAAAGCCCTTAGAGGAGGAGGAGGAAGAGGAGGAGGAGGAGGAGTTTGGGAGTCCTTGGTGAAGATCAGAGGATGCTTGACATGGGAGGGAGGAGGGAAAGGGGAGAAGGAGGGAGGGAGGCAAGGAGGAGGGTGGCCTTGGCTGCAGGGGAGCCTGCACCATGGAAGAGCCCTGGGCAGGTGCCAGGAGCTTCGAGGGTGGGATGACGCAGGAAGGGGGCATGATCCAAGGGAGAAGATGCTCGGAGGAGGATGGATGCGTGGATGCGTGGATGGAGGGAGGATGGAGGCAGGCAGGCAGGCAGGCAAGCGGGTGTTTCCCTCCTTCCCGCTCTCACCGGTCTCCTGCTCCCCGAGGAAGGCATCCTCCTCCTTGCGGGAGCGGAGGCAGCTCTCCGAGCCCCCTCCTCCTCCTCCTCCTGCCGCCGCCGCCTCCTCCTCGGGCAGCCGGGGAAAGCTGGTGATGCTCATGTAATCCACGGGCGAGTAGGCGCCCAGGCTGCTCTGCTGGCTCGCCTCCTTCTCGGCCGCCGCAGCCGCGGCTGCAGCAGTCGCTGCGCTGCTCGCCATCCTTCTGCCGGGAAGGGAAAGCCAAGCCAAGCAAGCAAGCAAGGAGGCAAAGCGCGCTCGCGGGGGAGGGGCGGGGCAAAGAGAAAGGGGCGCCGGAGCGCCGGATTGGCTCCCAGGCACCAGCAGCATCCTCCATCCAATTTCCGAAACAGGCGGAAACTCGTTAAAAGGATGGGGGATGCCGCTTCGTTATTTTTAAACCCTTCCGGGTTTAAAAAAGTGTTTTGTTATCGTTTCGTAAATGCAAAAAATAACGAATGTTTAACGAATTACAAAATTAACGAACGAAACCGCACAGGCCTACTAGCTAATACTCTACCCCATACTGTACTATACCATGAACTCTCTATCAGCTTCATATTAAGATTGAAAGATAGTAATGAGAATCAAGAGAGATTTAATGTAATACAGTTTTACTATATTATAAAAGCAACTTATTTTGCTTCAGTTCCAATTAACAGAGAGTCTGCTGTATTTTGGACTTCATCTCTTAGTGGTTTCCAATATTTGCTTTGGACTTCCTGACAGTTGGCTGGGCCTTCTGGGTATGAAGTCCCCAAATGTCTGTTGGATGAAAGGTTGGGAAACACTATCTTAAAATTGCACGTCTGTGAGCGGCACACAATCTATTTTAGGAAACAGTAACCCAGACATGCAGCTAGCCCCCATATCCATGGATTCAATCATCCATGGCTTTAAAATATTTTAAAAATATTTTCCCCATTTTATGTAGAGGATGCAATTTCATACACCATCATATGCAATGGAACATAAGTGTCCACAAGTTGTATGTCCTGGAGCCAAATCCCAGCAAATATGAAGCAAATATGTAGTAAATATGGAGAGATGTGCATCTGCCACATAGATACTATTAGTGCAAAGTATTGGCTTCTAGTTCATTGTGGCCCCAAAACCACTAGATAAACCAGTAGCTTGAATGAGGCCCCAGCCCTCTTTGGCAGAGAAGGCTAAAGACCCCGCAAAACTACAACTCCCACAATTCGATAGCATTGAGCCACAGCAGTTCAAGTGGTGTCAAACTGCATTCACTGTAGTGTAGGCACACCTTCGGATATAGTTTGTCTTTTTCAGGCAGATATGTTCTGGTAGTGGATAGACTGATAAAAAATGCTAATATTGTAATTGTAGTACCCTGGTGGCACAGCTGCTTAACATGCTGACTGAAAGGTTGGTGGTTCGAATCAAGGGAGTGTGGTGAGCTCCCGCTATTAGGCCCAGCTTCTGCCAACCTAGCAGTTCGAAAACATGCAAATGTGAGTAGATCAACAGGTACTGCTTCTGTGGGAAGGTAACGGCACTCCATGCAGTCCTACCAGCCACATGACCTTGGAGGCATCTAAGGACAACACCAGCTCTTCAGCTTAGAAATGGAGATGAGCACCACCCCCTAGAATTGGACATGACTAGGCTTAATGTCAGTGGAAACCCTTATCTTTTCGTATGTATGTAAACGTGTTTGCCACTTTGTATTCAGGCTCCATTTTTGTTTTGTTTTCTTTTTAATTACTACAATCTCATTTTCAGAATTGTTAACAATTTACTTTACAATGTTTTGCTTTCACTGGAAAGCAGTGACAAGGATGTTTCCTACCTACCTTTTCTCTGTTGCTAACTTCAACCTTTTTCAATATATTTGCTTTGTTTCACTTTCTAGATTTCTCATCATGAGTGTGGACTGGCTTGGCTTTGGTTATGCTGCAATTGTGGCTATTGGAGGTGCTGTGGGATATATTCGTAAAGGTAAACATTGGAATGGTTGTGTGTGCAAAGGTGTGCTGTTATTGTCCTTTTTTATACCCCGCTTTTCAATAGATTACAGCAGATTGACAAGAGCAGGGGGCTTTAGAAAACTTACAATAATGAGCTGTTGTGTCTCAATACACGCAGACTGAACAACAGAGCTGTGGATCTCAATAATTTCCTGTCATTCACAGGGGAATTATTCAATAATTTGTATATAAATTGAAATACAGTGTCAGAAAATATGTGGCAACAGTAAATGTTTTCTGAATGTCACCCTAGTTACTCTTGTAGACCTTCACACAAATTTGTTGTGCAGTGTTACAGTAGAATCTATAGAAAACTGCTTTAGCCATACTTCTAACTTTAAACAGAGGCTGAATGGCTATCTGTCGGGGCTGCTTTGATTGTGTTTTTCCTGCATGGCAGGAGTTTGGTCTAGATGGCCCATGTGGTCTCTTCCATCTCTTTCATTCTATGACCCTATGATCCATAAAAAAGAAAAATAGCTCAATTAGCAAGCCTTGCAAATGCTGATTTGTTATTAGTAAATATTTGATTTTTAGACCTATTTTTTATATTTATATACCTGAAGTTTTGTATTTTGCAAAACCAGCATTTCCAAAGTCATTTGAAAGCATGACCCTTTTTGGAAGTTAATTGCCATTCACACTATTTGGAATAATTATAACCTTTTGAAAGGCATGCTCTTTCTGAGAAGAGTTAAAAACTCGCTTGAGTCAATTTTCTCCCTAATGGTAAATATACACTAGTATTCATGCAATGCAATTTAGGTTTCTCAGTTGTTAGACTGATATCCCAGGTTAACTCTTTGAACTGTTAGGAACAAAGATACGCCAATGCACAAAATATATAGCAGATCTTTAAAAGTGTTATTTCAGTGGCCCAAAAATCATTTACTCTGCCATAAAATGTATTGCTCTCAAATCATGCTCTCAAGAGACCAAAATAAGTAATCTTCATCAAAAGTTCACATAGTTGATTTACTTACAAACTTAATCTATTCAGCATACAGGTGCATTTCTTTTTGGTTGAGAGTTTAAACAGTAAGTTCTCTAAGCATTTAAGCATTGTGTTTCAGTCTCTTCTCTGTTGTATACAGACTAACACTCTCTTTAGTCTAATATATTACAGAACATTGACTCAATATAAACCGACTACTCACTGCAGCATACTGTACTATACTTAACCAATGCAAACTATACTCACACACTGTACTGACTTCTAAATTGGAGTCTCAGTCTGAATAGTCTCAGATTTGTGTCACATGGTCTGCAGTCCCTCCCACAACCTCAAACAACATAGAGTTAAGAGGAAAACTGCATACCTATATATATACACACACACACACACACACAATATAGTAAGCAATCGCAATGATATACATAACAAATAACTAGTATAGGAAGCTTGTAGAAGGTTGCTGTTTCCAACACTGTACACATTTCTCAGCCTAAAATAGTTTGCAAGCGTAAACATTTAAGGAGCCCTGACATAGTCTAACTTCTCACCCTGCAGGAGCACAAAATCTAGCAATTGTCCTTTGTTTACAGGCCTCCTAAGTAGGAAACTCCACCCCATGCTCCTTGAGGCAGTCTATATACTCAAGTATAATTCAGTTTTTTTCAGTCCTTTTTTAGGCTGGAAAAGCTCCCCTTGGGTTCTACTCAAAGTTGTTTATTATTTTTCTCTGATACTATTATTTGTATTACATTTATTATTTTACTCTATTATTATTACATTTATATTATTTTACTCTATTATTATTATTATTATTACTTTTATTATTTTACTCTATTATTACTGGAAGGATATGTAAGCACATTTACATTGAAGAAGGTTAGAATAATGGTTTCATCAGAGCTGGACAGTCTTACCTTAAATAACAGTTTTGTGTAAATATTCAAAAACGTTTAACCTACTGATGCCTCAATTAATGTAATTTTATTGGTGTCTTATTTTTATTTTGAAATTTACCAGTGGCTGCTGCATTTCCCACTCTTGGCTTATACTCGAGTAAATACGTTTTCCCAGTTTTTTGTGGTAAAATTAAGTGCCTCGGCTTATATTTGGGTTGGCTTATACTTGAGTAGTGGAGCCCCCGGTGGTGCAGTGGGTTAAACCGCTGAGCTGCTGAACTTGTTGATCAAAAGTTCGCAGGTTTGAATCCAGGGAGCAGCATGAGCCCCCACCGTTAGTCCCAACTTCTGCCAACCTGGCAGTTCAAAAACATGCAAATGTGAGTAGATCAATAGGTACCACTTCAGCAGGAAGGTAACAGTGCTCCATGAAGTCATGCCAGCTACATGACCTTGGAGGTGTCTTTGGACAACGCTGGCTCTTCAGTTTAGAAATGAAGATGAGCACCAACCCCCAGAGCCGGACACAACTGGACTTAATGTTGGGGAAAATCTTTACCTTTACTATATTTGAGGATATACGATATATTGTCAAACAATTATTACCATCAGAAAGTTCTTTCTAATCTTTAGATGGAATCTTTTTTTTCTTATAATTTGAACCTCTTCCTTTCTGTCATAGTCACAAAAACAACAGCTTCATTTTTAGAGTGACATCACTTTAAATATTTAAATGCCACCTCTCCAACTTGTATTCTTTTGTCTTTAATTGTTTTCCATAGCTTAAAAATACTTTTAAAAACAATGGGTATTTTTTCTAGATTTTTTGATTGTTTGTTTTTGAGCTGGTACATATGTGATCTTTATTACAGGCAGCAAAATCTCACTGCTTGCTGGCGTCATCTTCGGCTTGATGGCTGCTTATGGGGCATACTGGGTAACCCATGATCCCAAGGATGTCAAGGTCTCATTGTGTGAGTATCCCTTTTGACAAGAAAAGCAGAGATTGAAATGTGCTCTTACCAACATTTACTTAGATACTGGAAGGCTACAAATAAAACAATCTAGTGTAGTTCAGATCCTTGAAATGTAGCCGGAGAAAGAAAGTTTGTATCATAATGAATGTGAAATGCTTGTTTACAGTTACAGCTTTTCTTCTGACGGTTATAATGGGAGTGAGGTTTAAGAGGACCAAGAAATTAATGCCAGCCGGAATCATAGCAATGCTAAGGTAATAGACTGCAAACTTTTTCACTCTTTTTCACTCTTATCCTGGAATAAGCCCTATTCAACATAATAGCATTTTTTAAGTAGCATTGCATAGCATTGTGCTTCATATGTGTTAAAAATATTGGCAGAGAAATGCTTTTTCTCTTGGTTTTCATCAAACTCCAGGACAATATTTCAAAGTTTTTCAAACAAGGTTCTGACTACACTGAAATCATAATATAAACATTGAGATCTGGGAGATAAGGCATGACAATTTGAATGACTGGAAGCTGAATGGGATAAATAGGCTTATATATGTAAATGCACCAGATCCTTTCAGAGTTTGGAAGATAAACAGAGTCAGTCCTGGATAGTACTTGAATGGGAGACTGCCAGTGAATACCAGGTGCTGTAGGCTATATTTCAAAAGAAGAAACTGACAAAACTTCTGAATATTCCTGGCCTAAGAATATCCTATTTGTGCTACTGACCTGAAAAATGTTGCTATAGACCAGGGGTCCTCAAACTAAGGCCCAGGGGCTGGATATGGCCCTCCGAGGTCATTTACCTGGCCCTCGCTCAGGGATACATTTACATACATACATACATACATACATACATACATACAAAAAGTTAATTAGTTAAATACAATAAGTAGCTGTCAACCTAAGTCTGAAACTACTTGAAAGCACACAACATTAAACAATCCTATCTCATCAGCCAAAAGCAGGCCCACACTGCCCATTGAAATAATAATAAGTTTATATTTGTTAAATTTGATCTTCATTTTAATTATTGTATTGTTTTGAAGTGTTTTTTGCACAAATAAGATATGTGCAGTGTGCATAGGAATTCATTCATTTTTTTTTTCAAATTATAATCCGGCCCTCCAACAGTTTGAGGGACTGTGACCTGGCCCTCTGTTTAAAAAGTTTGGGGACCCCTGCTATAGACTGTGGAGGTGACTCATTAATTTGGCCTTTTATGTGTATGTAGTGTATGGATCCTTTTAATAAAATAATACATACATTTACATACATACATACAAAAAGTTAATTAGTTAAATACAATAAGTAGCTGTTGAGTTTGTGTTGAGCAGAGTTTTTAGCAGAGAGTAGAAAATAGCATTTCTTCTTTCTTTGATAAGATAAAGGTAAAGATTTCCCCTGAAATTAAATCTAGTCTTGTTCAACTCTGGGGAGTAGTGTTCATCTCAATTTCTAAGCTGAAGAGCCAGCATTGTCCGTAGACACCTCCAAGGTCATGTGGCCAGCATGACTGTGTGGAGCACTTTTACCTTCCCACCAAGGTGGTACCTTTTGATCTATTCACATTTGCGTGTTTTAGAACTGCCAGGTTGAAAGAAGCTGGAGCTAACAGTGGGAGCTCATGCCGCTCCCGGGATTCAAACCTTTTGGTCAGCATGTTCAGTAGCTTAGCGGTTTAACCTGCTGCGCCACCAGGGGACACTTCTTGCTTTGATATGAACAATCAAATGTGTAAAACAGGAGTGGGCATCATAGAATCATAGAGTTGGAAGAGACCTCATGGGCCATCCAGTCTAACTCCCTGCCAAAAAGCAGGAAAATCGCAATTGAAGCCCCCCCTCCCCCCCCACCCGACAGATGGCCATCCAGCCTCTGCTTAAAAGCCTCCAAAGAAGGTGCCTCCACTACACCCCGGGGCAGAGAGTTCCACTACTGAACAGCTCTCACAGTTAGGAAGTTCTTCTTCATGTTCAGGTGGAATTTCTTTTCCTGTAGTTTGAAGCCATTGTTCCACGTCCTAGTCACCAGGGCAGCAGAAAGCAAGCCTGCTCCCTCCTCTCTATGACTTCTCCTCATATCTTTATACATGGCCCTCATCATGTCTAAGTTTCATCATGTCTCTTCTCAGCCTTCTCTTCTGCAGGCTAAGCATGCCCAGTTCTTTAAGCCGCTCTTCATAGGGCTTGTTCTCTAGACCCTTTATCATTTTTGTCGCCCTCTTCTGGGGGCATTCCAACTTGTCAACATCTTCCTGAAATGTAGTCATCCTGATCTCATCCACTGGGAACTGCAGTCTACTGTACATCTGGTAGGGTGTATGATTTAAACTAAACAAATATATAGAGGCCTGCAATTTCTTTTTAAAATAATGCAGATACAATGTACAGCTAAGCCTATGGAAATCTGACTTAAATGGCAATGTATCTGTAAAATTGATTCAGATTTTCTTTCTTTCTTTTTAAATGTAGCCTTCTGATGATTCTGAGACTTGTCCTTCTGCTGGTATGAATGACCAAAGCATCAAGAAGCAACATTTATATCATTCCACATGAACAAGAGAATGTTTCTTTGTAATGTCTCTATGAATCAAGAACTTTTTTTAAAAAAAAAGGTGTCCAAAGGCAGTGTTATGTTGTGGATTTGGGGCTATATTCTTCTCATTGCATTTTGTTTTAGCTATATTTTCCTGGTCGTCTGTGTTCTCATCTAGAGAGGTAACTAGTTAGTCCCTTTAATGATGTTCATTCTTGAGAGGCCGAGGAGCTTTCAGTTCTACCTTTTCCTCAGAAGAACAATTGGGAATCGCAGGGCCTTTGAAACTCAGGTTAAATCTATGTAATAGGCACATACTTAAGTTTGCATACCGCCCCAAATAACAATTTTGGGGGAACATCATATGAAGCAATGCAATGTGGAACATGAAATGGACAATAGCTCACTTGCTGATAATGTATTAAGATTTACTTCAATAGCATTCAAATGAACTTTACTTTGGAAACACATTGAAATTTGCTTTTGCACTGAAATCTCAAATTTTAAAAACTGCCAAACATCTAAAATAAATAATTTTTAATACTCTGAATGTGTTCTTGTGTAGTTATTAACTTGAAAATCTTTCCTAATGTAAAATAATCCAGTATTTCAATGGTTGGGAAAAGATATGCATGACTAAAAGTAGCTGAAATGTTCCAACTATTTTATGCCTGCCTGTGTCTTTGTATCCTTCCATCATTGTACAGTAAAACTCCTGTATCTACATGAGATACATTCCCGGCTGAAGGACTGAATAAAAAAAATGCCATTGAATCGCCTCACTTCCGTTCCTAGTATGCCATTAAGTTTCATTGGAGGACCTAGAGATTCCAAGAAAAAAAACAATTTTCCTCCAGATATGGAGGATGATGATGATATAATAACAATCAGGGACAGCTAATCACCTCTCAACAAAAGATTCCCCCAGGCACTAACAAGCCACACCAAAAAACTGCCAGGCCATCAAATGCTAATCAAGGTGGTCAGTTGAAACATTCACACCTAGCTCCAACAGACAAGAGTTCTTTGTCCCACCCTGGACATTCCACAGATATATAAACCCAATTTTCCTAGTTCCAACAGACCTCACTACCTCTGAGGATTCTTGCCATAGATGCAGGCAAAACGTCAGGAGAGAATGCCTCCAGAACATGGCCATATAACCCGAAAAAACCTACAACAACCCAAAAAAAATAACACTTTATTTATATTCCTCCTTATCTCCCCAAGGGGACTCAGGGTGGATCACAGTACACATATACAGCAAAAATTCAATGCCGTTTTGATAGACAGGACGGTGATAAACAGAACAGAACAGAAAGGCGGTCTGTTGTATCGACATCCAGTTTTTTGGTGCCTTGAAGGTTGTCCTCAAATCCAGCCACGGGGGGTGCTGTTGCTCCATCCTCTATGACAAAAAGCCATCAAGACTTCCTCCTTCCTTTTGGTCATCAGGCATTTTCTGATCTTTTTCTTTATGGTGTTGTAAAATATGGCTCCCACTTGTTTTAGCGGTACCTGATTTCTCTATGTATAGCTCAAGTTGTTTTTGAACTGTTTAGGTAAACAGTAAGCTGGGTTGACAGCTGGGAACTCACACCGACCCAGCACTTCACTTTTAAAGATTTGTTTTACAGAGGTTTCTAGCCCTTTCAAGTATGATATAGTTTATAGAAGAAGCCAGTACAGGTCAACTCTGTTAGAAGACCCATTGCCTTCAATGTGTGTAGGATTGCAAGTGCATGCTTCGGTCTTTTAGGCAAGAGAAAACGATTCATCCAAGGCACCCAGGGGGTTGTGTATGGAAAAATATGTCGATTTATCTCCTGCTTTTCTCCCAGTATGGGTCCCAAAGTAGCTGACTGCAAGTTGTAAGGTTGCTCAGGGTCGCAACACACTTATGCAATTGTTCAGTCTCTTTACAATCGATATATTAACCTCAGAACACTGCAAACCTTCCAGAAATTTTGATAACAAAGTGAGCTGAGTTGGACTTTGGATAGCTCTCTGGGTTCAATAAGAATATTTTATGGAGACAATCTCAAATAGGAAATTAACCCCAAGAGGTTTGAGTAATAAAATATAAGGTTACGAAACAATGATAGATTAACTGTAATAGAGGGTTGGATTATTGAATTAGAAGTGCATTTAAGTTCAAAATGAAATTGTTTCACAATCTGGCACTTTCATATTGAACTCTGAAATGGTCAGATTGAAGGTCTTGCATTTCTTTGTCAAAAGAGGAAACTTTGAACTGTTGTTCTTTTGCCAACAGACAAAGATCTTTTATTGAGACAGACCTTATCTTTGTGGTGCCTGCCATAGATGAGGGTGAAACGTCAGGAGAGAATGCTTCTCGAACATGGCCATACAGCCTGAAAAACTCACAGCAACCCAGTGATTCCGGCCATGAAAGCCTTTGACAGCACACAGACCTTTTGTTTTTTCAGGGAAATGATTCCATGGCAGTGAAAGTGGTATTAAACTGCATTAATTCAACAGTGTGAATGCACCCTAAGTTAAACAACTCCCAACACTGTCAATTCCACATAGGTGGTTGCCTCAGCCCCTTTCCAGTTTTTGTTGCCCTTTCCCAGCTTTATACTTTTTTAAAAATTCAATGTTCAGCTGCAGTCAGTTCTCTACCTTACTTTTTCATATCCTTCTAAGAAGTAAATAATTCCATTTTTTTCATGTCAGGAGCTTCTGGTGTGAGAGAATTGGCTGTCTGCAAGAACGTTGCTGAGGGGACACCCAGATGTTTGATGTTTTACCATCCTTGTGGGAGGTTTCTCTCATGTGCTGCATGGGGAGCTGAAGCTGACAGAGGGAGCTCAACCCACTCTCCCTGGATTTGAACCACTGACCTGTCAGTCAGCAGCCCCGCCATCACAAGGGTTTAATCCATTGCACCACTGGAGGCTCCAATCCAAAAATGATATATAGGGATACCTCAGTTAGCAAAGCTGTTGATAAAGCTGCTCCTTTTTCTAAAATATTTTTATGACTGCCTGAATACCTTTTTTTCCCCTCCTTGTCCACTATCTAGGTGAAACGTTTTTAGCAGCATTTGCACTGGAAGGATAGTGGAGGGGAGCCAAAGAGACTTTCAGTGGCTGGCTGACCCTACATATCTGGAGTAAACAATGCAAGTATACCCAAGACTAAGACTCCTAGATCCCTTCCATTCGTGCTGTATTCAATCCAGCGTTATACCTGCACACTTCATGTTTAATGCCAAAGTGTAGTTCTGTACATTTCCCCCTGTTGAAATTCGTTTTGTTAGTTTTGGCCCAGCTCTCTAATGTGTTACAGTTATTTCAGATTCTGATCCTGTCCTCTGGGGTATTAGCTGTCCCTCCCAATTTGGTATCATCTGCCAATTTGATAAGCAGGCCTTGTATTCTGTTATCAAAGTTATTGATCAAGTTGTTAAATAGCACTTGGTGGAACTCTGTGGAACCCCTATGACACATGCAAAATATTTAATTGACTTTATGCAAGGCTTACCTGACCTAAAATATTTGCTGAAACATATTGAACCTGGTATAAGTAGTAAAGGTAAAGATTTCCCCTTGACACTGAATCTAGTCATGTCCATCTCTGCGGGTGGTGCTCATCTCCATTCCTAAGCCAAAGAGCCAGCATTATCCGTAGATACCTCCAAGGGTCATGTGGCTGACATGACTGTATGGAGTGCTGTTACCTTCCCAACAAAGCGGTATCTATTGATCTCACATTTGCATGTTTTTGAATTGCTAGGTAGGCAGAAGGTGGGTCTAACAATGGGAGCTCACCTTGTCCCATAGATTCAAACCACCAACCTTCTGGTCATCAAGTTTCGCAGCTTAACGCTTTAACCCACTGTGCCACCACAGGACAGTACCTATCCCTATTATTTCCATGTTATTTATGCTTCTGGTGCCAACTTTTCTGTTTAAGAAGTAATACCCAGAAACACATCTACTTCATTAACTGAGGTGTCTGTTTATTTTGTTTCTGTTTTTCAAACCATTCTCTTTTCCCCTCCAGATGGTTGTCACATTGCAGAACTACAACTCTGGTTATTTCGTGAAGACCTTCCACTTCCTTTTCAGCCATTTTTTTTGCTGAGTTTCTCTCCCTTCTAGCATTTAATGTTTATCTTCTATGGTTCTGTTCTCTCTCCCCCACCCCCCACCCCCAAATCACCTTCTCTTTCCCCCTTGCAGTGCTGCAAACTAGGAAAGTCACAAAAGATTGCCAAGCATTCATTTCACGCCACCTCTTTGTTCTAGCACAGACTTTCCCCCCTGTGATTAGCTTGCTGCCTCCTTTCTAGGGCTGGGTTAACCATTAAACCACAAAAATCCAAAAAGGTTCTGCTGATTCATTAATTTTTTATCTGCAATGACTAGCCACAATTAAGCTCAAACATTCTGTAAAACATTCTGTAAAAAGGGGGTAATTGGTCCAAGGCATTCTGCCACCAGAGAGGGAAGGACAATTGTCACCTCTTCTTCCCCAGTAAGGGGAAGAGAATCCAAGACCATTCAAGTTGTCCTGTCACTTGAAGGAGACAAATCTCACAGCTGCATTGCCTTCCAGCCCAAACAGTGAAAATGCATGCACCTATGCAATACATATGCAGGTAAAAGTGCACGTAACAGCATGGTCACTTCACAATTCTTTTAAGATTACCTTTTAGAAAGGTTAAGGAATTGTTGAAGTTTCTTCAAGAAAGGGCAATACCTAATTTTAATCTTTTTTCTCTGTTCAATGGCTAGTTTAATGGAAGGAAGAATCAGGAAAGCAAAAGATTGTGTTTTATGACCATATTTGCAGATGAGAACTCTGAAACAATTGGGTTGCTGTGTTTTCCAGGCTGTATGGCTATGTTCCAGAAAAATTCTCTCCTGACGTTTCACTCACATCTATGACAGACATCCTCAGAGGTTGTGAGGTCTGTTGGAAACTAGGCAAGTGAGGTTTATATATCTGTGGCATGTCCAGGGTGGGAGAAAAAATTGTTGTCTGCTTGAGGCAAGTGTGAATGTTGCAATTGGCCACCTTGATTAGAATTGAATAACCTTGCAGCTTCAAGACTTGGCTCCTTCCTGCCTTGGGAAATCTTGTTGGGAGGTGATTAGCTGACCTTGTTGGTTTTTTTCTTATCTGGAATTCCCCTATTTTTTTTAGTGTTGCTTTTTATTTACACTCCTAGAGGTTTTTTAAAAATACTCGTAGCCAGATTTTGTTCATTTTCATGGTTTGCTCCTTTCTGTTGAAATAGTCCATATGTTTATGGATTTCAGAGGTTTCTCTGTGTAGTCTTGGCATGGTGGTTGTTAGAGTGGTCCAGCATTTCTGTGTTCTCACATAATATGCTGTGTTCAGATTGGTTCAAGTGCTCTGAAACAATTGATGGAGTGCTGATGTTAGGAATACTAGCCTCCTGAATCTGGGATGAAGTTCAATACTTGAAATAGATGCATGGAATGCATTTATTGCTCCTCTGGCACGGAAGCCTCCATGTATCGGTCAATAAATGTCAGCATATCGGTCAA